GTGGGGCAACGAAAAGACTATGAACCTCAACCCAATGATTCTCACAAATGTGCTGTCTTCGCCGTATTTCAAAGTTCAGCTTTACGAACTTAAGACGTACCATGAAGTTGTGGACGAAATCTACTTCAAGGTAAATTTTGCAAATGCTAACCCGCATGCTAGTTAGATAACCGCCGTACAGTCTATCTAGCGTTAAGGTAGCGATAGCAAATTTACTATAGTGGTCAATTACCAAGGGAAACTGCCACCACAAAGACCTAGTATTATATATGGTAACACAAGTACTCGGGAAGATGTCTGAGTATCTCAAACAATTGCGCACACATACGGGACCTTAATATTTCTATCAGCAACGCCACATTAACTTCTAAGTGAGTTTACGTTGACTAACGTAAAAGCATGGCTGCCGTCATAAACAAAGATTACTTGAATGTTTGTTTTTTATATTTTTCAGAAATAGTAAAATGATGATGATGCTGGTTTGACCGCTTAAAAGCGGCAGGTGGTAGGGGGTCTCTGACTGCCAGAGCAGAATAACTGTTCCCTGATACGTTCGTGTGTCTTTATTGACAAAAAGGCCAGTAAAGTATTATGTCAAAGGTTTAAAAAATAAAATAGTTGTTGTTAATCTACAGCCTTGCTATAAACCAAATCCACCTATCACATTTATGTTTAGCAGTAAATACTTTAAATGAATACCTGTTTAAACACTGGCATATATCACTCCAGCTTCACTAACGCTCAGAGGAATTTGTCAGGACTGGATCCTTCAGATGTGTATTGGCAGCTCAATTCATGTTTCATGGACACATGTAAGTGTGTTAATTGTCCTTAAGACTCCTTACATTGTTTTGTATGTCTACAGGTGAATCACGCTGAGCCTTGGGAAAAGGGAAGCAGAAAGACTGCAGGCCAGACTGGAATGTGCGGAGGGGTAAGTGAGAAGTACGTGCTTTTTATATTCCCCATCTTTTCCCCCCCTCTACATTTGCCTTTCCAAACTCGAGGATGATGACTTACAAGTATGACACATTTACACTTTATAAGTACTTTCATTGTTGTACTTTAATGCTTAAGTATTGTCCAAAGGTCCGTTTTTGTGAATAGGTTTGTTGTAAATGATGTGCTTTACAAATATGTCTTCATCCTTGTTAGGTGCGTGGAGTCGGGACTGGTGGTATTGTGTCTACTGCTTACTGTCTTCTATACAAACTGTTTACTCTCAAGCTGACTCGCAAACAGCTAATGGGTCTGATCACTCACTCAGACTCTCCTTACATCAGAGCACTTGGCTTCATGTACATAAGGTAGGTCTTTTTTGGCTGGAGATTTTTTTTTATACTTTCCAAATATTGCTAGATATTTTTGCACATTTTGGTTAAGACATCATGTTGATGAAATTAGAGATGTTTTGTTCTAAGGCAATATTTTTGTTAAAAATATAAAAAAGTTAATTAATTGATGAGAATATATTTGTTAATTGCCACTATGCTACTAAAATGTATCCATAGTGTAAAAGAAACATTTTATTGCAATGTTCTAGTTGCAATGCATTTTTCAGATCATAAAAAGTTTAACTTAAATGTGTATGTATAGGTATTATTGATACAGGTCGGTAAAATCATAAATATAAAGTAACTGCAATGTGAATTTGTGATGCAAATGTTCATATTATGCTCTCTGTTTTGTTCAGATACACTCAGCCTCCAGCAGATTTGGTAGATTGGTACGACGGCTTCCTGGATGATGAGGAGGTATGTCACTTCGGGTAATAATTTGATGTTTCTTTCTCTCAAATAAATACCTTGTCAAACGACACATGTTAAAAGCTCTCCATTTCCCCCCCTTGTGATGCTCATAAACTGATTTTTCACCTTTGCCTTCATTTGGCTTAATTGTCCCCAGTTTCTGTGCTCTAAACCCGAGTAGCTAGGTTACTTGCTCACTGTGCTGCTGCTGATTTTTATCAGGGTAAGTAATGTATGCGATGCAAATTAAATCTTTAAGTTAATGTAATGATAAGGCATGCCTTTTAAATTTTTATAAGCTTCTATCAGGACCACAAAATGTGGAATAAATAGTCATTTATACACAGTCAAGCGGACATGTACACCCAAACTAATAACACATGTTGACTGTTGCATACATCTATTAGGTATTCGCCATATTTTAAAGGATCAGTGTGTAGGATTTAGTGTAAACTAGTAGACCCCTAAAGCATGAAAGAAATGTTTTAGTTTGTCCATTCTGGGCTACTGTAGAAACATGGTCGTTGCAAAATGGTGCGCCCGGTGGAAGACGACCTGCACCTTATGTAGTAATAGACATCGGTTCACGTGATTCAACACGACCGAGAAGAAAAGTTAGGAATAATATATTTGATTTCTGCCGTCAAATCTTACATATTGGTCCTTTTTGATTAAAATTATACTTGATACCAGACTGTGCAGCTAGGCCTCCTTCGATGTTCTGTTGCATTATATTTGAACTGATCATATGAAATCCTTCCCAACTGGTTAATTCCCCTGTTTTTTTCTTTAGATGCCCATTGTGCAGCAGGTGAATTGGATATTGTATCTCAGCACTGTTGGGTTGCGTGTGTGAGTGCAAAGCGGCTGTTCCTTACCATATCAAGTCAATAACTCTTCAACTGGTGTGCACTTTGCCTAGCTGCTCCAATCTTTTCTTACACTGTGGGCAATTTGTAATCGCTTACACCCCCTTAAGAGTCCATTGTGGTCTTGGGAACGCAACACAAAGAAGCCATGGCTTGTCTTGCATTGAGTTTCAATGTTTTCAGACGCTGCTTTTTCCTTAATTTTCAGTCTGTTTACAGTAGATGCAACCACTTTTGAACTACTGTTATTAACAGATGATTTTAAGAAAAGGGGGGTGCATCCCAAAATAACAGTCCCTTCATTATCAACGCTCACACTGTTAAAACAGCCAGAGTTTGAAATGAGGTAAGACTTTTGTTATATTTATAGTTCTCTATCCTCTGTCATTGGCAAAGAAAATTCAGCCACATCTGATTGCTTTTGAGAGATTAAGCTAGATGAACAGAGGTGAAGTTTCAGTACTTGGTCATCACAAAAAACATAATTTGAGGCTAGATTGAAACAGCGATCACACATACCTCTGCCCTGCCTGGCTGTGTTAACTGAGTTTTCCTATGGCTCTTTCCCACCGGTTGATTTCAGGAGCTTGACGTGAAGGCAGGGGGCGGCTGTGTGATGACCGTTGGAGAGATGCTGCGCTCCTTCTTGACCAAACTAGAGTGGTTCTCCACTCTGTTCCCCCGCATTCCGGTGCCCGTGCAGAAATCTATTGACGTGAAGATGAAGGCCAGGCCTCGTAAAGTTCCCGTGAAAGAGACGCCGGAGGAGGAACCCGAGGTGGAGGAGCCAGGGAAGCAAGGAGAACAACGCGGCTCCAGGTAACACAATTAAAAGGTTGTCTGTTGCAAACTCTTGCCATGACTCTCTTTACTCTACTTCTTACTTATGTAGGTTATGTTATCTATATGACCAGAAAGTGTAATAGCTTGCTCTGTTTTTTTGTCAGGACACCAAAACAGACACCAAGTCCAAAAAAGTCCCCCAAACGGTCAAGGAGCAGGAGCCACCACCGCGAGAAAGAACGACACGGCCCCAGCTTTGACCGAGAGCTGGAGAGGGAGCGGGACCGCCAGAAGAAAGAGAGGGGGGGCGGGGAGCGAGGGGACAGGGAGAAACGGCGGTCCCGCAGCGCAGACAGAAACCAAGACCGGAGGGAGCGTAGAAAGAGTGGCAGCAGGGACAGAAAGAACGAACGCAGGGACAAAGAAAGAGACGGCGGGGATGACAAGAACAAGAGGAAAGAGAGGGAACACCATAAAGACAGAGGCGTAGAGGGGGAGAGGTCCAAAGAGAAAAAGAGCAGGGGGGAGACTGATGAGAGGAGGCATAAAGAGGACAGGGAAAGGCACAGAGAAGAGAGGAAGGCCAAAAAGCAGAGCCAAAGTCACAGTAGAGAGAGGAAGCACAAGAGCGGGGGGGAAGAGAAGAGCAGGAAGAGAGACAGCAGGGAGAAAGACAGGGAGAGGGACGGAGAACAGCGCTCTCACAAACGTAGTGGTAGCAAAGACAGGAGCCATCATCAGCGAGAGCCCAATAATGACCATAGTAAACATATTGGACGCAGAAGGAGTCAGAGCACTGAGTAAATGTCGCCTGCCAGCAATATTACTTGTTCTCCTCTTATGTTTCCCTCCCCTCTTTTTTACCCAGTTGTTAATTAGAAGAGAAGAATGTCGGCACATTGGACACCTGGAGTTTATGTCTTTGGCCAATGTAATATTGCTTTACTTTTATGTTTTTCTGCCTTTTTTCACTCCCCATTAGACCATTGTTAGTCTTCACTTGAAATTTAAAAAGTGGCAAAAATTGCATTTTAATTTTCTATGGTGCGTCTGTTTGCCCTGTGAAGATGTGGATTTGTAAATACCGTTTCAGAGGCCGTCGACACACGATCAGGGGTCTGAGTTGCATTGAATGCTCAGTCGGGTTCCCATGGCGCTGAAAGCTCAACTAAGAACTGTCGTTATATCATTTATGCAATGTATAAATAATAACTTGTTTTCAGGCAGTACAAAACATATTTCTATAGATTTGAATAAATACACTGCATTTGTCTGGCGAGTGAGCTTCAAATTTGAGATTAGCAGCCATGTTGTTGGAAAATGACTACACAAAGCAACTCTCTCCATGGTCGTGTGTCGTCAGTCTGAGAATGTTTTAATCCTCTAAGGGCCGTCTGCAAGGGGTCATTTTTACCACACACACTGAGCCCTGCCTGTGCTGTGTTTGGGTTATTGCGCTGTTGCATTTTGTTTTCTAATAAAACACTTTTACAAACAACATGTTTTTAGTCTTGTTTTCAAAGGAATATCCATGTATTTGTCATTGCATCACACATTTATAGCAGTTCAAGGATATCACAACCATTGACTTGAGACAGGCTGAATTCAAATAATATCTTTGGATAGTTTTATTAGAATGTAGTCTGAACATAGCTTCCATACAAAATACACAGGCAACACTATATGAAATGGAACAAACCCCCAGATATAAAATATGTAACTTCAACAGTAGGCAAATGATAATATGTTTTTTACACAGTATAGAATAGATAAACTTAAAAACCCTTTGGTCATGAGCTGTGTGGAATATGTGTTAGTCATACCTCATAAGTGTAAATATATGTAACCCATGCTAATTCCTGTGTTATATCAAAATATGTTACATGAAATCTTAACAAGGTTACACAACTAAAGTTATTGTTATTTGGTAAATGGTAAACAATTTGCCATTCTCATATGTTGACAATGCTGCCACCTTGACAGTTATCCCCACATTTGAGTCCTGAGACGTTTGCAGACCCCTAGCTGTGTCTACACAAGTGTTTTCCTATTGGGACAGATCCTGTGCTGTTTGCACACACACAGGCTCCGACTCAGGTCCACTAGTTGCAGTGTACTCGGCCGACACGGAGAAACAGTAGGCCGAGTTTGGAATCAGATCAGTGAGAATGATGCTCTCGCCCTGCACCGTTATCTCCTCTGACTCTCTGGAGCTGTCCTGCTTCCTGATGAGCAGGCTGTACTGGGAGGCAGCTTCAACTGGAGACCACTCCAGGAAAATAAATGTAGGCAGTGCTTGTTTGACATTTAGTACTGGAGCTGGGAGGCCTCCTATTGGAAATAAACAAGTCACAGTTTTGAATTAGGTTACAGCTTGACTTGAGAATAGTTTGTCCGATAAATAAGGAACGAAAAGCTTGCATGAAAGCTAATTAATTTACATGCGTAGAAAGTAACCTTCACATTAGGCTTAACATTAGAAGCTAATCAAAAGCAGCATTCAAGTCTCCCCCTTCAAATGTTTCTTTGGGCTAAACTATTTGTGGTTAAAAATTATGAATGTTTCCCAATTATAAAATGTATCTTGTAAAATTTGTTTTAAAAAAATACAAACTAACCATTTTCTAGGGAGTGCCCACTTAGATCTCTTCTTCTGCGACCTGAGGAACCTGCTAAAGAAAGAGATTTCATCATTTAATTTGTTAAAAACAATTAGTAAAAATGTGTCTTTTTTTAATGTGTCAAATATTATATAACACACTTGCACGCACACGCACACACACACACACACACACACACACACACACACACACACACACACACACACACACACACACACACTCCATTCAGTTCCTACCGATTGGCACACTTGTCTCTTTACTGTCCCCAGCTGTGTTGCTGGCTGTTATCACCAGGTCAGTGGATGTGATGTTGTGCAGAGAACAGGACAGTCCTGCAGTGCTGCACAGCTGAAATCTGGGCGTCACACTGTTGTCGTACACGGTGTATGAGGTGGCAAACACTGACGTGTTCCATGAAACTGTGGCAAAGGTGTTGTTACCACTGTACTCCACTGCTATTGGTGGACATGGAGCTAGGAGAAGATAAATTACAGTTAGATAAAACATCAGGAGTCTTTGTTTAACATGTCTGGCTTTTCCCTATTGTTGAAATAGTTGTGATGAAATGTCTGAAAGTAAGACAGCAGCCAATAAATGGAATCAGAAATCATTGCGAAAACAAACACACATCTCTCATGCGAAATAACCAAAATGTCTCTTTGAAAGATTATTGTATTCATGTAGCCTTCATGTAGGCGTCTTCTGCCTACAGGCCCCCATCACTCTGCAGGAAATAACTTAGAAAAGATGTTTCCAAGGCATTTAAGCTATTGATTGGAACATAATTCTCCCTGCTAGATGGTCTAGTCTTTGATTCAAGTTTCAAGTTACAAGGCTTTATTGTCATTTGCACATTAGCTACAGTGTAGATATGGCAATGAAAAACGTAGGTCACAGGCTCCTCCAACAGTGCAACATATATATAGGACATAGAACAAATAAAACAGATAAAATAATGCAAGAGAATACAAATAAAGAATAGAATAGAAATAGTGCAAGAAGAGTCTATATACACAAGTAAATGGAATGATATATTAGATAAATAATTTGCAAAATGCAAACAGATGAATGTTTATGGATGTTCTTTAAAAAGTTCAGGTGTTTAATAGATTGTTGATATGATGGTTTAATCACCTTTTTGACTTGTCACAGCAGGAAAAGGGGAGGTGTAACTAATACAATGAATGACGCCTCTATTAAAGTAGAATATGGAACAATGTGCTGAGCTGTGCTGGAGTTTAAGTACTCAAGTAAAAGTACGTGTTTGAGGTAATTGTTATTAAAGGCCGTGAAATCCAGGATGTAAGAATGTTTGAACAGAAGCTTGAGTGTTAAGTGAAGTTTACCTGTTGTACCACTGAGCGGCACAGAGGGTTGGCTGGTACCACCAGTGTTCCTACTCTCCACTGTAGCCCAGTAGGATGAACCGCAGGGGAGAGGAATCTCAAAGTACGTCATGCTTGTCCAATAGGAAGAGATCTCAAACAGGGCCTGGCTATCTCCCAGCAGACTTCCGTTTAACTCCAGCAAATACTCAATGTCTCTACAGGTGATCTGAGTCCAGTTGGAGTACAATATCTGGGTTTCATTCTGCATCGTAAAGAGCTCCACATCAACACTGTCTGGGGGGACAAGGGGCTGAAAGAAAGAGATAGAGAGGATTATTTAATGTAATAATCAATTTCAGTGCAAATGTTTCTAAGTTATTGGACCAGCTCTTGTACCTGCTCCACTCTGCACTGGGTCACTGACGGAGCTGTTGCATGTCCCATCTGAGGCCTGAACAGTGAAATTGTAAAGTGTTCCACAATCAAGGCCCTGGATGGTGCAGCTGGGATTTGTGCTTTCACAGTACAGCATGTCTCCATTTTCGGCCTGGGCACAGCCATAGTAGTCCACAGCGTTATATCCGGGAGTCCATGACAACAATGCGGACTGATTGTTACAGTGTGAAATAACTGAGAGACCATCTGGCTGGCAGGGACCTGGACAGAAAAGAAAGATATGATAAAACTGCTGAAACAAATATCCTTAGGGCATATTTGGTCAACATATGAATGTACACAGGTATTCTCTATCTATGTAAAGACAACTACCTGTGTTAAGTGTAGCGTTTTGACTGGCTTTGCTGGTGCAGTTCTCGTGGCTGGCAGTCACAGATATGTCATACTGCTGGCCACAGTGGAGCTCCGATATGCTGCAGTTACTAGAGGTGGTGTTGCATGTATGCACATGTCTATTTGCACCCATTGCGACCACATGATATGTTTCAGCTACAAGAGAGGGGCTCCAGGACACCAGGGCACTGTCGTCCGCACAGGTTGACCCAACCACCACGTTACTGGGTGGACACGGCTCTGTGAAAAAGTGGGAAATAGTGATGTTTTTTACATTGGTGCAACAATCAGGATTTAGGAGCATGGATTTAGAATCTGAAAACAGTTGGTGTGTTTTTGGTCATTTTTAATCAAACCACCAATTACTGTTGGTCAAAACAACCTGACAAAACTGTTTTGTGTGTTAAACATTTTATAAATATACCTACAGATAAAAAAATAAAAAATCGTTTTTTGTCACTGACAGTTAATATTATGGAGAAATGTTAAGGCGTTTTAAAGGAAAACTACTTCTTGACATAATATCACAAATGGTCACACGTTATTGTGTTATTAATTGAGTGTTTGTGGTGATGGTGGGTGGATTTTGTAATTTTTTGATGGAACCATGGTAGTGACTTGCACCTGTTTACAGTCTTTATGCTAAGATTGATGGATTCATATTTACTGGACAGATATGAATTTGGTATTTATATTATCATCCAAGTCTCAGCAATAACCAAAGAAGCAAAATGTGTCCTTCAAAGTTAGCACTTGAAAAGATGGTATGAAATGCATGACAAAAATCAACAGAAATCGACATACCCATGCTTATTCTGTATGGTGGACTCCTCAGACTGCTGCACTGGTCTGATGAAGCGGCAACAATGATGGTGTAATGGAGGCCACACTGTGCTCCATGGAGGTAGCAGCTAGTGCCAGTATTATTGCAGGAGAGGTAGGTGTGATCACTGGCTTCTGCTGTGGCAGTGTACACAGTGTTTCCCTCTGCATGCCACAACACGAGGATTGAGGAATTGTGGCACTGAGCAACCGCTGTGATACCAGAGAGGGTGCAGGGAGCTGGGGGAACAGACAGATTTCATTTACTGACACTGCAGAATGTATGCATTTATGTTTTACTCAGGGTTGGGCATTATTTAAAATTCAGATGCATATTTCTTTCAAAAAGTCAGAAATGTGTTACCTGTCTGCAGGTCGATCGTGGTGCTTGGCTGACTCTCACATTTGCTGTTTTTAGCAATAACACTGAAGTTATATAGTGAAACACAGGCCAGGCCTTCCACCTCACAGGTTGTGTTGGAGGAAGAGGTGCAGTTGCCTATATAGTTGTCTTCACCTACAGCTGACACAGCATAGCTGTCTGCCCCTGGAGCAGCGTTCCATGATATCCAGGCAGAATTTGTCACACAATCGAGCCTGCCACTAATTCTTTCAGGCTGGCAGGGAGCTGGAAAGTAAAAATGACATAACATTTACTTTGGTGACAGAAAGGATATGTTTATGCAAGGATGAATGGCTGTAGAAGCTTGCTTACCTGACATGATACTGTAGGCCTGACTCTGCTGGCTTCTGCAGGCACCTCTGATGGAGGTGACATGAACACTGAATGTTTTCCCACATGTCATATTTCTGATGGAACATGCAGTGTTTGTGGTATTACAGCCACCGATGGTTACTCCATTGTCTGCAGTTACTGATGTCAAAAAGTGGTCTGCTTCTCTGACGGCATCCCAAGAAATCATCAGGTCGTTTGACAAACAGTCAACCTCAGCACTCACGTTCTGAGGAGGGCAGGGCGCTGGGAATAAGTAGAGATTTCAAAGTTAGAAATGTGTGTTGTAAACGGCACAAAAGTAAAAACATGTGTTAATAAAACTGTGTTAATTTAGTTTGTTAACCAACCCTAGGCTAGTATCACCTTGTTTGTGATTAGTCACATGTAACAGTGTTTAAATGTCTGTATCAACAATAACTTGTTTTATGTGCGTGAGACAACTTTCATATTTCTTCAAGTATAGTTTTTAGGTGATAAAACCTAGTTTGCTTAATTTTTCATCCAATATTGTTTTTGGTTTTATTCTAAAATTCCTAATAGTCAGTGAGTTACTGAATATCTGGGAGGCAGGTGAACAAAGACAGAGGAGGATGCAATCAGATCGTTTTAGTTAGTGCTTCCCTGTCTGTGAAGACTTAAACTTCCTTAATTTAATGTGTAAAATTGACAGGAGTGCACAGGAACGACACTTTTTTTCCAAGGCAAAATAATAAAAGCATGCGTCAACTTTGGGGCAGAAGTTCGCATGCACAATGTTGACGCATGCGTAGTCCTGCGCAAGGTACGCAAAACAGTAAAAGTGAATTTTGATTGGCAGGTGTGTAGGTTTTTATAGCCATGATTTTTTACGAGATAATGACAGCTCAGCAAACTGAACACTTATTACAATTGCATTTTTAAATATCTGTATGGTTCAGTCGCAACATGAGCACAAATCACCAACAAGTTTAGTTGAGCTTGAGTTTCGGCTAAGTAAACAGCTAGCGCTAAACTAGCGTAGGCTACCTGGCTTAGTTAGCTGTGTTGCTAACCTTTTCGCTAGCATCCTGTTGGATAGCACATCTTCAGCAGCCCCAACAACGGACGACAACAAAGTATCGCACTGAGCGGCCAAGGACAGCCCAGATGAACGTTTACGAGGGAGGAGACACTTCCCTCATTGTCCATGGACAGGTGAGGAGCCGCCATTCAGGTTGATAAGGACCGAATGAACCAGACTTCTGGGGGTGAGTAACTCATGGATGGGGACATAATTTGTCTTTGAGTTTTCCATTTTCCATGATCCATCATTTGTACTAAGGTAAACTGTTTAGAGGTACACTCAATACACATAAAAAGTATGCAGTGCACTAAATGCAGGTTGTATTACTATCAGAGTTGGGAAGTAATTAAGTACATTTGATCAAGTTTCACTTCATTTTTTTGCTACTTTGTACTTATACTCCACTACAATTCAGCGGTTAATCGTGTACTTGTTTACTCCACTTCATTTATTTAATATCTTTAGTGACTTTGCATATTTAGATTTATGTTGTGAAATATAATCAAGTAAATTCACATTCTACCCAGCAGCAAATTAAGTAATTAAAATTAGTCCCACCATTACCAGATATCATAAACACATCAATATTACATTAATAATTATAATCAAAACACATTATTCTGAAATGGGCCAATCTGCACAATGAGTACTTTTACTTCTGGTATTTTAAGTATATTTTGATGCTAATACTTTTGTACTTTTATTTGAGTAACCTTTTGAATGCAGGACTATTACTTGTTACAGAGCACACCGTGGTAGTTCTACTTTTACTTAATTAAAAGATCTGAGTACCTCTTCCACCTCCCTGTGTTGAGTGTATTACTGGTGTTGTCTGTCTCACCTGAGTTGAATATCAGAGCCTGGCTGGGGATACTGGAGCAGTTGTCATCCATAGCAACCACCTGAACAGAGTAGCTGTTGCCACAGGTGATGTTGTCAAGGCTACAGTTGAGGCTAGAGGTTTGACAGCTGACGTTGTTATGACTACTGTGGGCCATCAATGAGTACTGTACAGCCCCCTGACTGGCGGTCCAGGACACAACAGCTGTGTTGTTATCACAGTCCATCACCACAGAGACATTAGTGGGAACACATGGCACTGCAGGAAGAGGGAAGGAAACAGCATGATGGGTAAAACGTCATGACGTTGAATTTGAATTTCAACAATACCTAATGTATTCATGCGTATAACATTGATACATCGTAGATCATCATAAGGATAAGCAGAGGTACAGTTATTCTAAAAGAGTAGTCATTCCAACTCTTAAAAACTAATGTTGACACATATGAGTGCAAACATATAGAACAAAACTTACATATAGTCATTTAATCAAATGCATGCAATTTTTCCAAGTATAATTGCAGAATGTCATTTTTTTTAACCTATATATCCATGTATATGCAGTATATATTATGATAAATACTTGGAAAAAATATCATATTGTCTACACCATATACATATTGCCATATTCTGCAATATTATCTTGTGTTATTATCTTAAATATAACTTGTCAAAGTTTTGTTGAAACAATTTAATTTAGGGAAAACACTACCCTCATATCGAAAGAGTGTAAAAGCCTTGCTGGAAAATCCTCATAAAAGCATACAGACATTTCCTTGCTCACTAAGACCCCTAAAAGAACAATGTTATATGTCATTTTGGTTTGTGACCTTTTGCATCATCCCTTGAATTAAGATCGGTCATGTAAAAAAAAAAAAAGTATACAACCAACTGTTGATAACAACAAAGATAAAGCATTATGTAACCAAAAGCCTTTTTAAACCCCCACCTGACTGCAGACTGGTGGTGTGACTGGAGGTGATGTTACACTGCTGGTTGGAGGCTGTGACTGACACGGAGAAGTTTTGCCCGCAGGTGAGTCCCGGGACGCTGCATCCATTAGAGTCGGACATGCACATGGGGGAGATGCCAGTGTCAGTCTGCATTGCCGCTGTGTAGTAGTCGGACCCATTAGTTGCCTGCCACATTACCATGACGATGCCAGAGAGACAGTCCTGCCTGGTGGAGACTCCTACAGGTGGACACGGCCCTGGGAAAAACAAATACTATACATGTTTGACCTGTTTCAGCACACTCTTATTATATTTAGTGTTTAATCTTATCTCTTTGAATGTGAAAGTGTATTTCGTGAACATACATGTCTGTATGGAAGCCGATGCACTGGAGTTTCCAGGACAGTGCTGGTTTTGAGGTGTGACTGTGAGGCTGTAGTTTAGTCCGCAGCTAAAGCCAGAGAAGTGGGCCGTGGTGACATTAGTGGTGAGAACAGTTGTTTCGTTTCCTGCCTCGCCTGATACCATATACACATTTGTCCCGTTACTGCCATCCCAGCTCAGTGAGACCACTCTCATATCACAATTCACAGTGGCAGCCAAGTTCTGGGGCACACAGGAATCTGGAAAAAACAAAGATGAGTGACGTATTAACAGCATTATTCAACCACATCTATGTTTTAGTACACCAACTTCAATTGCAATGCACATTTAATGATAACGTTTTATCATGTGGGTCTGTTACTTTCTTATATTTTCCTACATTTCTTTTGAGAACAATTTAAGTTTTTACTTACAACATGGAAAATGTTGTAGGAATGTCCTTTAAGGAAATTATAGTTTAAATCCAAGCAAATATTAATTTGTCTTTCATTTCTGATTGAAAGCTTGATGCTGAATATGAAGATGAATAATCCCTTTTTTTTGCTTCACTGACTTAAAGCTTGGGTTAAATAAACAACCAAATTATTTAAAATGAATTCCTTAGAGGTGTGATAAACACTGTCTACATTTTTCATTTTATTGATACCAAATGAAAAGAGGAAATCTTAACAAACTTTAGACGACGTACCCATATAGATTATGGAGCTGTTGCTAGGCAGGCTTGTGCAGTTGCCATTCTTTGCCCTCACTACAACAGTGTACTCCTCTCCACACTGCAGGTCGTTCCAGCTGCAGTCGGTGCTGTTGGTGAGACACTGGTGGGCGTGGCCATCAAGCCCAGTTGCTACAGCAACATATGTTTCAGCGCCATCACTGGACCCCCAGCTGACTGAGCCCATGTTAAACTCACACTGTGCATAGGTCGTCACATCGCTGGGGGGGCATGGTGCTGGGAGAGAGAGAGGAAGGTGGAGAACTCAACTAAACACAAGCTTGTGACAGAAGTTATGCATTGTGAATTGTTGTCTCAGATATTAGATTATACCAGTTTTGAAGAAGGCGGGGCTGCTGGGGATGCTGTCACAGTCACTGCCTTTTGCTTGTACAGTCACATTGTAGTCCTGTCCGCATGGTAAAGTAGCTGCTGGAATACTCTGGGTTGCGTTGTGGATCTTCACGTATCCAAGGCTCCCAGTAGTCGTTACTAAGTAATTCACGACACCACTTGCTTGGTACCAGGAGATCTGGACCTGCTCACTCTGACAGAGCACCTGATCGGAAACAATCACAGGCTGGCAAGGCTCTGAGGAGAGCATAATAAATAAAGAGAGAGAGAAAAATTAAGATGATTTACCAGAAACAAATAAAGTACTAGATCCTTCAGTAAAAGTAGAAATTCCTATATGATGAAATATTAAGTTAATTAATCGATTAGGAGTTGGGCACACAATTAATCAGCACCAATTTTGATATTTGTCTTTGTTTATCATAAACATTGACATCTTATAGACAAAATGATTTATTGTTAAATGACAAAATAATTGCATTCAGAGCCTTAGAGTATTTTGTACATTAAATTAGTGTTTTGTTATTTCTAATGGCTTAATAAGTAAGCAACATTTGAATATAGCACCTGGTGCAGATGAAGCTAAATGTAACCTCTTTATATGTTTGTTAATTTAATCACTCAAACAAACAGTGCATCTATTTTTTTAAATGGTCACATAAAATCTGCCATATAACCATAGCTATCAAAATAAAAATAAATGGGAGTAAAAAGTACAATATCTGCTATAGATGCAATGTGTTGAAGTAGAAGAGTAACAGCAGACAATGGAAATACCCAATTGATGTAGAATAATCTTAAAAATGTTACTTGAATGAAGAACTTGGTTAAAGAGTATTTAGTTACTTTTGACCACTGAAACGGGCAGAAGTAACTAAGCTTCTTCAGTACCTGTTTGGATGGACACGGTGCTGCTGGCCTGGCTCCTGCAGCCTTGACTGTCTGCTGTTACGGTAAAGTTGTACGTCTCTCCACAGTCCAGACTGGCAAACTGACACGTAGAGCCTGTAGAGTTACACGTCTGCACCGGCCCTCCTGATGTCTTGATGGCGTTAGCTACGTACAGCTCAACATCAGACCTCTCCTCCCAGGACAGGACTGCGGTGTGGGAGCCACACTGCAGGGACACATCTACACCCTGAGGAGGACAAGGACCTACAAAAAGATGTGAACATAGGTTATATTTTGAAGAAATTAAACCTTGGTTCATATTCGCCACTTATGAGGATTTGCTGTAAAACTCACGCGTTGTGAGGTTAGCGTGCATCGGCGCACTGAGGCTGCACTGTTCGTTGCTGGCGGTGAAGCTGAGGTTGTAGGTTTCTCCACAACTTAAACCCGTCACGTTACAGCTGTTCTGCTGAGTTTCACACAGTGACAGAAGACTTCCACTGACCATGGCTGTCAGGGAAAAGTTTGCTGCGCCATAAGTAGCATTCCAGGACACAACGGCAGCGCCATCATGAATACAGTCCACCTCTATCTCTACCTCTCTGGGCAGACATGGAGCTGAGGAACACATCAGTATGTATGAATTGACACCCAAAGAAACAAATAGAAGCGAAACTGCATGCTGAGTATGTGTTTACCTGATGTAAGCGAGACCACTGTGCTGTCAGAGCTGTTGTACTGCTGACCCAGCGCCTTGACCCAGACGTTGTACTCAGTGCCACACATCAGCCCTGAGACAACACATTGGGTACTTGTGTCTGC